CCGCAAAAATAATCTGTGAGGCGTTTGTGTGTATTGTGTTTGCTTCCCGGGGAAACACTCACAAGAAACACCGGCTGTTGTTACGCCTGCTGTGAATTTAAGTCACCGCTTGTAATTATGCCTTTACAAGCTTAAAAGTTGTATTTATCATCTGAATTTGGCGAAACAAGTTTAATATTCTAAAAACCAAGACTTTGTTTATTTGAAATTAGATGAAAACAAACTGTCACGGACCCTGCCGTGTTATCTATAATTACTACGCTTTTCATTCATCATTTCAGCGGGAGGGAGGGGGAGCGGCGCTGAGGAACAGCAGAGTACAGATTGACGGGTGTCTGTGTTGACATTCCCCTTATTGTGGAATAAGGGGAATGCAGAGACTGGCTACAAGTGTCTTAGGTTCGAGTTAGACAACTAATGTCTGGGTTAGTGTTCATGACTTCATGTTGATGTCATCTTAATGGTTAATCTCAATACACACACATTTTACGTGCTTTCCAATAGTTTAAAATGGTTTTATTCCACTGTTAAATAACCTGTTTAATACAAACATGCCACTTGTAAAAATTAGATAACATTTCTGTGAACTGATATTTGTTTAGTGAGCTTAGTAGAGGATGTTCCCTGAAAGATTGTAAAATGTCAATGAAGATGTCAGACTTAGTATATTTGTTAATAATTACATACAATACATGGAATTTTTGTGTGTGTGTTCCAAGTGAATCTGCGGCCCCTGGTGGCCAGTACATCAATGATGTGGCCCCCACCACCATCCAAGTTGCCCATCTCTGATTTAGAGTATGATAAACCATAAGGCAGGGTATGCTTCAGGGGGGGGGGCAACATGACGTTGTCCGATGCGTTATGCGACGCTTTATGTATTTTTGCCAATCAACCACTTGTGTTTTGAAAGATTAGACCTTGTCAATAAGAACGTTTGTTGTGTACAATTTACAAATGCAGAATATTCAGTAATAAAAACAATCAGCATATTGGTTTGACCAATTTTTGCCAACATGGTCACAGCAGAACATTTATGAGAACGTGACATAAAAAACCTTAAATACAATCATGGACAATGTATTAAATGTTTATTAGGTCAATAGAAATGCAATATGAAACATAACTGGCAGTTCAGCTAACTGGTGATGAAGCTCAACTTAAGAAAAGAAAGCAGAGAGAATTGTGTGGGAGTAAACGGCTCAAAGGAAAGTGTTAATACTGGGTACCATCCATAAATATATATTTTTTTGTAAAACAACATTTTATCCAAATGCTCAAGAGAAATGGAAAAAATAGTGTTCGTCCATTTTTTTTATATCTCTGGCAATGGAGAATACATTCTGTGCTTTGAGGTTAGTACAAGGGAGGGATGTGAGTTTACTCATTTAGTTTCTCTCATCGCGGTTGGGGAACGTTTGGTCAAGTAGTGAGTTTCTTTGAGTTGACTGGTTGATGCTGCAATCTTAATTTGAAAAGCTATTTTCCTTGTTGCCTATTTTAGCTTTAGATCTATTTTTCTTGAATCCAAAATTGGCCTGAACATTGGCCTTTTTTTTGATTAAATGCACTACTTTTGTGATCTTTGACTTGATTCACAATAATTGAAATTCTCTAGTCATTCATTCGCACACACTAGGAGGGCTTTATCAATTATTTTAATTACAATAACAAAATATGGCTATTGCCCCTGGATATAGGAATACCTAATTATTCAGCCCTTCATAGGCTTATCTTTTATCCAGATTATTTTCTTAGTATTATAATTTGTATGGTACACTTCTGTAGTTCTCTTATTTAAAAAAGAGTTTGTGGCTGTCAGATATTCCCAATAACTACTAGACCACCTAAATTGTATTTCCTTTTTTAATTGCTGACGTTTACATTCTGTACAACATGATGGGAATGTGGGATTGGCTAAAGGGATTCTGGTAATCTCAGCAATCTCATAGCATAACTCCAGAGTGAACCAAAATCGAATCAGCCTGAATAAATAATGGCACCTGTCTTGGTTTGCAAGGGCTTATACTTGTGGAATATCCAGGCCCATAGTGATAGACGGTACACGGTTCAAACTATTTCCTGCCTAAACCATTCTTGATAATAGCTCACTCAGTCCTACAGCAGGGTAAATGTGTTGTGTTGCCTGTTGTTCCTCCACATCGCTGTCCACAGAGACTGCAGGCGCTGCACAGACCGAAGATAAAAGACACAGCCAACTGAGCCGGTCAGCAAGATCCCATTTTCATCAAACTAAACCAAGCTTACGCCAGCTTCTTCAATTATTAAACGCCTGAAATAAGCAACAGTCAAGCACCCCCAACTCGCTGCAACAACTACTGCAAACACCTGTCAGTGTCTTTGAAAGGGAGAGATTGTTCTGGAGAAGATTGGATTTGGATTATGGTTATAGAGAGACAATACACTGACGCTGATTGCTACAGAAATACGTGCATTGCTTGAGGAGAGAATCAGAACCCTGTTGTGTGGCAAAGTGCAGTCAGGCAGCATATTGGTGCCAGATGTATGACTAACAAATCAGGCACATGGCAGTGCATGCCACCAACTAAGATTGGGTCTCATAAACCTTTTCTGTGCCTGTCTTTGAGTCTCCAAATAAATGGGTTTGTAATAATGGGAATTTGTTGATGAAATACCATAGTATATTTAGCATAGCTTGGCAGCTTTAAAATGATTATCCGTCAATGCCAGGTTTGGAACATAATGTGACCCCACTCTATCAATATTAGTCGGATGTCGCAATGGTACTTAGCAATTTACACAGGGATTTATTTTGTTCATGTACACGGCACAAGCCCTACATTTGTTTTCTAAGAAAACTCAGCAACTGCATTTTCCGTCTCCTGAGAGACGCTCATTATTGAGACTGAAGCTGAGCATGCTAAAGAAACAGCTTCTTTGTTTACAAACCCACATAATTGTATGTGTTTTTTAAACTTACTGGATGAAAGTGGACTTTAGGCTGTGGCTCATCTCATGGTACAAAAAATGAATTTGCATATATGACATTTCTCCTAACCCCTTTCCCTAACCGTGGAGCTATGAGTTGTAGTTGAAGTTGAGGTTGTAGTTGAAGTACGTAGGTGGATTGCCGAATATGTGAAAGGAGCTTTCTCTACAAATAGCATTATAATTTGGTTTAGATTAAACATTGGTTCCGCCCATTAATCAACATTTCTCTGAATTCACTCAAAGAGAGCACCTAGAAGACAGCTCCAGTCACTGATTGCTTGATTAGCTTCCACCTTTCTAAATCATATGCATATATCAACGGAGCACAGATCTCTCAGTGAGGCAGGATAAAACATCTTTCAGTTATGCATCGTGAACGCCCCAAAACCATTTCACTCTTACAATATTGTTCTTCACAAATGCCTTTTCAAAATTGCTTATACACTACTTAAAATAATCATAATTCAGCACGACTGCAACAATCCACTATAGCTCCAAATGTAATGACTTGTACACACAGCATAGAGAGAGATGCAATAAAGAAAATGCAATAACTGCAGGAAGGCTTTTTGAGTAAACTTTTACAATCCATGTAAAAAGATAAAAGCTGGAACTGCTCCATTGTCAATATTAAGAGATGCACGTCTTATACGGATTGAGTTGACATATTGATTTGAGTTCCCTGTTGCAGTTATGCTGATGGATCCCTCGGAAAATAATATATCCTGCGATATTTGTAACCAAATATCCAAGATAAGCAGTTTCTTTCACCACTGAAAAGGAAAAGCTGCATTCAGGTCAAGTGAAAAATATTCCCTTGTACAAGTAAGTTATATAACTATATTTTACAGCACAGGGTATATTGTAAATAAAAAATCATAATTTTCAAAAGCTGATGCATTGTTTCCAAAGAATAGTATATATATTCAACATCTAACGTTTGTAAATAATTTTATTGTGAGAATGTAGTCAAAACTATTAGCAACTTATCACCAAATTGCAATTTTCAATGGTATCACACACTCTTGGTGTTTATCACTTATTTCTTTACCTTTATACAAAACATTTATCAAACAGGATGATTTACGAATCTTTTAAACTCTATTTGACCCTTGGTGAATCTGTCATACCCGAAACATGCTACCTGAGATCTAACAAAGACAACATGAAAATCTTTTTTCAGTTTCCAAGCGAATAATTGTAATTACCCTGGTTTATAAATATACTCCTTATCACAGTGGAAGGATCCACTTTCAAGCCATATCATAAGCTTCGGGATTACCGAAGTACATCTCCTCTGTGCAGATTACCATAAATCTATCAACACAGTTGAGGAAGTGTGGAATATTCCAGAGAAAATCTGAAAGGCAGTTACAGTGCAACTCCATAAAAAAGACAACATAACCTAGTCACCTACTGTATAACGGATGTTCGACCTTGTAACAAACAATTCAATGTGTTCCACTTTTCAGTTGCAATAAAGTGCTCTTATGCAACTCCATAATAGCTTTGCTACGTTACAGCAGAACTGTCAAACAACAAATTCAATTAAACGCAATCCATTGTGAAGTGCTGGAAATGTTGAATATAATTCCATTCATGATAAAAAATACAAGAAAATGTTTTTTAGACACGCATTAATGAACCCACCAACAACACTCCCCGAAACACACACAAGTGCCAGAACATAATTGCTTAAAAATGAGTCATGCCATGCTTATGTGATGTGGTATTATGCAAAATTGTTAGATAATGTCCAATTATTCATGTTCTCTACAAGTTGACATGTATAATAACATGTATATAACAAATAACGCACAGATTATACGTGTGTTAATTGTACACTCAATCAACCTCAGACCCTGGATCAAATTAGGTTTTCTCTATTTTCCACTTTATGGTTTTAAAAGTAAAACCTGAGTAATTGGACTAATCTAACATTTGGAGTTTGTGAATCAAGAGTCAAGGATGCTTAACTGTGATTCAACGTTGTATTTGTTACAGGGCATACTTGATAAAGGATTTACCTCTCTGTTGAGCCTTTGCATTTTGATTTAGATTTGTTATTTTTGGCTGATGCGATGAATCATACCTCACACTCCCTGGAGCCAGAAATTGTGCATGTGCAGGAACCAGTGCCATTGCTTAGCACCTCCAATGCCTCTGGAGTGGCAGCAGGGTTGTAGCTCATGTAATACTCTTGGAGCTGGGAGCTCAGGTTCTGCTCAGGCTCTGGACTCTTTTTACGACGCTTCCGCCCCACCATGGATCGCTGCGGCAGCAACCTGGTTGCAGCTGGATATCGCCGCCAAAACACATAGATAATTGTCAAGATTAGGGACATAGTGAAGAAGAGTGCCACGCTGCCCACCACCACTTTGTGAAGAGTCATGTGTTCCAGCTCTGGAGGTGGTATGAGCGTGGGTCGGGTGGGGGCAACTGAGTCTATTGGGTCTTTGCTCATATGCCCTGGAAAGGTAGGATGAGGAATAGGTCGAGGTCTGTAGGGTGGGACAGGACCAAAGGTGCTTGCTATTGGCATTGGTGGAGAGGCGCTAGTGGGGGCAAAGGTTGGTTCTCCTGTTGCTTCAGAAATGAGTTCTGACATTGGTGAGGGTGTTTCTGTCAGAACGTAATCAGTTTCCTCACAAATTCCATGGTTCCTTGTGGCTTCCATAATTTTTTCTCCCTGGAGATACTTAGGGCTGCTGCATATCATAGTGGTGTCTTTGCTACCCCGAAAACTTCTCAACCAAGCCACAAGCGGGCATATCCCAGTTCCACAATCCCACATGTTCCCGGCAAGGCTCATGGAGGTCAGGGATATCCATGCTGACACAGCCTCCTGAGACACATTGGACAGTTTGTTGGATTCCAGGTTGAGGACTTGAAGGTTGGGCAAGCAGTGAAACACAGCTGGGTCCAGGATCTGGATTTCATTTCCGGACAGATCGAGTTTCTGCAGTGTATACCAAGTCCATGGAAGGCCCTGGTTGACCACCTTAATGCGGTTCCACTGCAGGAAGAGTGATCTCAGATTGGCCAAGCGTGGAAACAGAAAAAAGTTGATCCGTGAGAACTGGTTGTGCTCCAGATGCAACTCCATTAGCTTCTGAAGCCCCAAAAATGTAGTGCGAGTAAGAGCCTTGATACGATTGTAACCCAAATCCAGAAACTCCAAACTTCGACACTCCAGGAATGCTCGAATTGGGATATTGGAGAGACCGTTTGAGCGCAGGTGTAGGTTTTGTAGTTTTCGTAAGCCATGGAACTGACCTGGCTGAAGGACTTCCAATTTGTTGTAAGACAAGTCCAAACTGCGAAGATTGGGAATTCCATGGAATGTTGAGTTGTGCAGCGATGTGATCCTATTGGAGCTCAGTATCAGCTCTTTAAGCCTGCGAACCCCCTGGAACGCACGACTGTCAACAGCTGAAATTTTATTATGGTCCAAGTATATCCAGAGAAGCTGGCCCAGATGAGCAAATTGATACGGCAGCAGGGTGTGTAGATCGTTGTAGCGCAGGGAGAGGCCTTGGCAGCCAACTGAGATGTTTTCAGGAACATCTAAGAAGCCAGCTGAATCACAATGTACCGTTTTCCCCTCGCATCGGCAGCTATTTGGACAGGTGCGCTCACCAAAGCTGAACAGTGGGGGAGCCCGCAAAAGGAGGAGGAGAGGGAGGAGGAGGTGTGTCAGGCGTCCATCACACATCAATGGACCTGAAAGAGAATAAGACAGAGAGAGAAGAGAGGATTTTAATGAAGTCCCATTTTCAGATGTTATATACAAAAAAGCCATGGACAAATACAAAATTCAGTATCCCCTGTGAAGCAGAAAGGGTTCAAAACGGATGTTAGAACTAATTTAAAGTTCTTTGTTGTATGTCAACAGATGCATATGAATGGCAAAACTATAACACGAGTATATGAACATACTGTTTTCCGAGTTAGTTTTGTCAAAGACAAGGAGGACCTTGACACTAGGGCTGTCCCGAATACCATTTTTCAGGCTCCGGATATTCGGTAGTAATCAGCAGCGAATATTCGGATATTCGACGCTGGCTTCAACACGTGTATTTCGGTTTATTCAAGGCATTAATTTTGTTATTCTACAGTATTGTTGTTTTATAGTTATGTGTTAATGTATACAACCCAATGTATGTTCTTTGAAATTGAAAAGGATATCGCATTGTGTTTGTTACTTTCGTTGCAGTTGTATATGTCATAAGTGTAACTTGGCTTGGCTTCCTATTTTGTATGGACATGCTTTTATTTTGAAGGAGAGTTAGCGCTGTTGACAGGAAGTTGTTGTTGCTATGTTGTTGCTATGAAAAAAAAACAAAAAACGAATAACGAAATCCGAATAGTACTCCAACGACCGAATATTCGGATATTCAGGTACAGCCCTACTTGACACAGATTTACTTATCTGATCATTCCACTTATAATGAAGACATATAAAAAGGTTTAAAGGTCCAACGCTCATTCACTCCAGATTCTGTCTGATATTTACTCAGTCTTGATTTTTATTTGTCATTATTGATGGAACCAAATTGAGCCAAACCAATAATATAAATATATTGTCCTATGGATCAATGGCATGACCTTAATCCTTTCAATCCATGCAAATGCAACGGCTGTCAAATTACAGGGTCTGCTTGAGGATGCTTATATCCATGCTGTATGATCAGTCTAGGACTTGTGGCCTGCTTTTAATGCAATACTACAATTAAAATGACAATGCGACTGGACAATCATTTTCAACAAACAAGCAAGGCAATCAAGGGTTTTTCTTTAAATAATGGTAGGTGCTTGAATGTCCTTGTCAGTAGCCTCATGTTTTAATTTAACATTCTCTTTTGATTTCTAATTCAACATCCTGCAGTACAGATCAAACATGTAAGAAGATGTGTCACTGCCCTAATACATTCAGACTGCACTATATGTCAAAGGACAAATCCCTGACCCAGGGCTCTTATCTGGTCTCACACTGAGTAACGCTTCGACAAAGGATATACATATGCTTTCAAATTTACTTTGACCTCCCCTCAGGCACATGTTTGTTCCCTGCTCTGTTTCTTAAAGTAGCCGCCTTGCCATTAACAGCTACAGATTTGACAATTAACAATGAGGAGCTTGTCTACTATAGCGTAAAGGGAGGAATGATGTTGTATGAACAGGCTGCAATGCCAATGGTATCAAAGTAGGAGGTATGTGAGGGTGGGAATTATAAACATTGTGGAAATGTATAAAACAGTAGTGTTTAATTATGCTATTAATATTATAGACGGTTTCAAGGTCTAGTGGATTTTAATGATACAGTACATGATACAACCTGCATGAAGTTTGTAAATTCTAGTAGGCAGCACTATTATTTGGTGAATTACTAAAATTATAAACGTGGGTGATTATTAAACTCTATATAGAGAATGATATAAATAATTTCTCTTGGTGGAGACTATTAGGGTAAAAATGCATTAAATAATAAGAACAACAGCAGGCCATTAGTTATGCTTGAAATTATTATACACAATATACATCTCGGTACTTTTTACGAAGTCAGATATATTTCGAGTTGCAGGTTAAAGCAACTTAGAAGATGTCTAAGGCACTTTTGATATAAATGTATATATCCTAAGACGGTTGAGGCAATAAAAATGGTTTGTTCTGGATGACTAATCTTAAGTGTTATTCGCCAGACCAGCTAGCATCCCACAGACATACCCACAGCGAATTTGGCTGAAACACTGTTTCTTCATATACAAACTGGAATTTGGATTTTGTGGTGGTATATTTACCACAATTTGACAACGTTATGCTAATACAGCTGAACTCCTGCTCTAAGTGCATCTGCCTTTCTTCGTATGTTGCAACGCCTCACAGCTACACCCACACGCTATCTTATTAACTATGCAGTCAACTGTGTCAACACCTCACAAACACAAGACTTGACTATGATTGAAACAAATTAACGGGAAAATACACATTGTATAGTCCTATAGAAAAAACTGAACCGTTTAAGTGAGGAAAAGGTTAGCTGATTGCGGAGGGGATGCTAGGAACTGAGAAACTGTTTTGCTGATTCATTTTGAAAGAGAAACAGCTGATGGAATAACGTGAGCACAGAAGCGACTTTTTCAATCTGTCAATGTCAGTGACAGTTCTTCACGTTTATAGTGCTGTCCCCTGCTTAGCTGTAGTGAAGCCAAAAAGGGGGCTGGCAGCGGGGGATTGTGAGCGGATGGCAGAAGAAACGGATCATGAATGACAACATCAAACAATATCCATATACACTGTCTTCCTATCTCGTTAGGAAAAACTAAAAATACCGATATCTTAACCTTAACCTGATACTAACCTCAGCCATTTACACAAATCTAAACTCCCATACTTTTGTAGAGGTAGGGTGTGGAAAAAGGTTCTCTATCAAGGTCTAACCCCCTAAATTTGAAGTACAAGAGCACACACATGAACTCCAAATATTGTGATTTGTTTGGTATATGCATGAGAAGTTACTGTTTGACTTTGGACAAGGTTTTTGAAATGACAGCAAGTGAATGACATGAATACAAAAACAAAAGTGCATTACATTACTGGCAGAATGTGCCACTCTGTATACTTAAGTTCTGGAGAGACATATTGCTTGTCCAGTACGGACAAACAGGCAATTTAAGGTTTACAGACAGAGGAAGACCATGATTGTGATGGAAAGATTGCAAGAATTGAAGATGCAAATTCAGAAATATGCATTTGAGTCACTTTGTATTCAAATCGACAAGTATTTTAGAAAGTTGGCTACTTAGAAAGGCTCCAGACTTATTTCAAAGTCGGATAATTACATCTTATCTGGGATACATTTATGTACTCGCCTTGTGGACCTCCATAGGACTATCGGCAAATAAGATGGTTGTTAATGGCAGTGGACGATGTTTATCTGTTCCAGCTCAATAACTTTGTTCTAGCTAAATGTTGTGTTGGTCACTAGCGTTCCACTATGAACAATTGCTGGCATATGCCCCCAATATGTCTGCCGAATTAAGAACAGAGCCACTTGCTAGAACAGCCAATCATCGAGCACATCTAGTTAAAGTACGAGAAGGTCTTGTGACTTGATGATGTTTTTCAAAAGTCAAGTTTAACTATGATCAGACACTTGGATTACAATTTTCCATTGAAGAAAAGTTATGAAAATGTGTGTTTCAAAGCAAAATAGTTATAAGAAAAACTGAAATTGGAATCAGCAGCAAACATTTAAAACAATTGGAATTGGCAAGGAATGTACAATCAGTGCAGCTAGTTTACTTATCATTTATATGTGTTGAGCTTCTGCTGTTAGCTGTAAACTAATTTTTTGAATCCTCCGTTGTCTAACTCATAGTATGCGGAACACATTATAATGCCATATTATACAAGACCTTAAGGGATGACCCACAACACAGTTTGTTGTGGGTCATCCAGATACAACTATTCAAAAGCTACTTCAGTGTTAGTATAATACTCAATACGGGCAGGTTTGTATTGAGCCATATAAAGACCAAATATGAAGAAACTATATCCCTTTTCAAAAACAATAATTTTTTGAAGTTGGAATTGATTCCATGCTGCAATGAGTTGGAATGAGGAACAGTACATTGGTTTGAGGCTGACATTTATTGCAATTGCATGAGTGGAAGTCGTACTTAGCAAAGTTGTTTCTAATTCCTAGCTTCTGCTCAACATCAGTTATGGTATGTACGTTAGTTCAGAAAATCGCACAATCTTAATGGATATGCCCAAATTCCATTTCCCATGTTACTACTAAAAAGCACATTATTGTGCATCTGGATTCGCATCGAAATATAAGAGAATGACAAACATGGGTTGAGTATTTATATTTTCATAGACATATCTTAAGATAAGAGTAGTATGGCAAAAGTAATAGCCATTTTCCACTGTGATTTCCTGCATACTAACAATAAGATAGGCAGTCCAACAATCTTTAAACTGCTTCTTTAATGAGTTTATAAATATTAACACATTGAATTGAAGAAGAGAATGAATGCGAACTATTGCTGGATTTATGTCAATAGGATTTGATTTGTTTTTGATCTGTATTTTTGAAAATGATGTAACTTTTTATCTTTTTTTAGCATATTGTTTATTATATTATAACTTAGTACTTTTTTTAACGCATGTAAGATATGCAACACTAAGCTGTCTGTGGCTCTTTCCTGCTGTAACGCTGCAAATGTCCCCTCTGTGGGACTACTAAAGGTATTCTGATTCTGATTCTGAATATGCAAGAATGCAAGCGAAAAAGAAGTAGGACGATAGAGGAGGTAAATGAGTCCTAGTGACACTGAGTATGATAATTCAGTGCGGATATCACACGTTGTGATAATGTGCGCTATAAATAAACCCCTAAAGTCCTCCAAGCAACAGATACAGTACACTGCCACTCTCATCACCTCCATTAGGTACCAAACTGACCAAGCATCCACGGCACTCTAGTCATTAGTCTTAAATGATGATTCCATTGGAGCTTTAAAAAGGGTCTGCCCTTAGGGGAAAAAAATACATTTGGGATCAAACAGAGTGTGTGACTCACACATATTTTACATGGTAGGAAAATGTTATAGAAAGCCACAACATTCAGCCACTGGCTCATTAACGTCTCCGCAAGACACCATCTTTAATTAGCACACATTGGTTCAGCATGGATTTCTGTGTAGACGGAGAAG